GGGCCCTTTCGGAGTTCCGGCTTCCCTCGGAGGGCCGGTGCAAAATCTCAACGTTGTTGACTACCCTTGACAAGTTGACATTTCGCTACACATTTCAGGAAGAATCAGGATCATCGACACACAGGATTTGCTCGCATCAAATAATGTGTGCGTGTGGGGGGGGGCTTGACTTTGACACCTGTGCATTAAACTGTGATGATTGCACTGCTGCTACCTTTTTTCTCCGAATGGACTGTAGCAAAAAGTAAACAAAGCCAGTCGCCCACCGGCAACAGGCGGGACAAAAGAGCAGCAACGTTGGAGCACGTGTGTGCGCGTGTCTGTGAATGCTAATGAAAGCTTGTCACTCTGCATTCACAGCAGGGGGGGGGGGAGAGAGTCAGTGAGTGAGTGAGTCACAATGTGGAACAATCCACAGCGGCCTGGCTTGAGAGGCCACCTCGCACTCTGCTCACCGGCTTCCGCAGCAAAACAACATGTGATTTCACACACAACTGACACGGCAGGAGAAGCGGGAGGAAACGCAGCGGGGAGCCCAACCAGAACCAGCTTGCTTTGCTACAAATAAAAACCAGCCACCTTCAGGTTATTTCTCCATCGGGAAATGGAAAAGTAGGAAAAAGCGACACCCCGACTTGTGGCTGACTCAACACACTGCGGGAAAAGGCCATGATGAGAAAAAAAGCGGTGTGCAAAGTACGGAGCCAGGGCCACATAAGTGCCATTCAAGAGTCCTGGACTATTTGTTGCATTTGGAGTTTTTTTGGGTAGCAATTCGGTGCGAATCGGTGATTCTCAAAGTGTGCTCCGGTCACCCACAGCGGCGTGTGGGCGACTCCCTCTGGTGGGATGTGAAAAACCCCGACTTTCATTTTCCAAGGCGCGCTCCAATCGGAAGCGGGCATTCGGTGCTCAATGCTGACGATTTTCTGTCCGCGCCATCCAACGTGAACGGAATCGACGTCGTCGTCTCCGACGGCTTGAAAAACGGAGCCGGCGAACGCGCCCGTCGTAACGGCACGTACAAAGGCGGCGGCTCGGGCAACATTTTCATTTCTTTGAAATGGAACGACCGGTCAAGGCCGACCCGCGTCACCGTTCCGTTCGACTTTGGCGATTGGGCCGCGCCTCTTCGGGGCTCTCGGCAACGTTGTCGAAAGAAGAAGAAAAGAGAGAGCCGTTCCCGAGCAGCCTTCGCTCTCAAAGGATGAAAGGATCAGACGGAGATTTGGCCAGTCTAGACGATTTTTCGGGCGGAGCGAGCCAGACGCAAACGGCAAAACGGCGGAAGCTCCGCTTTCGTCGGACGCACAGAGTCTCTTGACTCGCCGTGGTGAAGGAACGGCGGAGCTCTCGCAGAACCGGACGAGCAAGCGATCGCCCGCATTGATGACAATGCAGGATTTCAACCGAGGTCACAAATGATGCTTCCTGAGCCCCCAAACCTATGATGGTCTTTTCGAGCCGTGCGATGTGTTGCCCCCCCCCCCCCCAAAAAAAAAAAAAAAGTTCTGTTCTAGTGCGGTATCCCTCCTCATTTGAATTTCCCCGTGGAGGATGGCGATTCGAGCCACAATACTTCAGGCAAACCTTTTTCTTGACTTGTGTTTTTGGACATCGGCCGCATCGGCGGTCCAGTTTACTTACTGCGGCATCGGCGGGATTGGTCATCGTCTGTCTCCGAAAGAAAGGTGTTTGTTCGGCATTTTTTTGCCCTGTCGTTGCATGAAGTTCGGAGGCTTGGAGGTACTTGGCGAGAGGGAACATTCGGACTCGTCGTACTGGCCTCGGGCTGCCAATCAAACGCGACTCGTTGTTTTCGTCAACTCCTTTGGACGCGTCCGCTTTCGAGTTCGTTCTTCAAGCGCGTCAAGCGCGCGGCGTTAGCTTGCGTCCGTAAACAACCGCCGAGAACCCCGACCGTTCTGAGCGCGGTCCCCGCGCCCAAGGCGACCGACGTGTCAACGAGCCGCCGCGGCCCCGCGTCGCGTCGCGTCGCGTCCCTCGAGCCGCGCTCAAGTGCGCGGCACTTCAACAGCAACAAGTTGGACGCCATTTGAAAAAGGAGCCTACCTTAAATGGCGCACGCGGACGCTTCCATGGGGCAGAAAACCCGACGAGCGCCGCCGCTCGGGCGACGTTTCGAGCAGCTTTCACTTTCAAAAGTCCGCGCGGACCTTCGCTCGAGAAAGCCGCCGACGGACTCTTCTTTTCTTCCTCTGCCGCGTTTCGATTGGAGAAGAGGAGAGGAGAGGAGAGGCGCGAGTCGCTTCCGGGCCGCCGGCTCGCTCGTTTGGCGGTCAACAGGTGAGCTTCTGGCCCGGGGGGGCGGCGCGCGACTGAGGAGGCGGACGCGGAGGCGGAGGCGGAGGCCGGCCGGCATCGAGCTTCCGAGCGAGCGAAAAAGTCCGAGCACTTCCATTTCCGAACAAGCGCGGCGCCCGTTGCCGCGAGACGCGTGACGGTGGGGAGAGCCCAACGCCCCGCTTGGACCTCAAACAATATTGATCATCAGCGATCAAGGAGACTCGCTGACTGTCGTCTGAAGCGTGAGTACTTGCTCAGCAAGACCCCGTGACCTTTCAAAGGTGGTCTTCAAAGCAAGCGGGTGCAGATGTGACGCTTTGTCATTTCAAATGTTTCCTCGACGTATACAAGAGTGAGTAATTCACATTTTCGCAGAATATGAAAAATGATTTCTTTGCTGAGTGACGGCTTTGAAGACCCAGGCTGGCCTCTTTTCGAGAGCCCGTCGCCTTGCCGACAGCGAGGGGCGCGCTTGGCGTTGGCGTGGGAGAGAGCGCCGTCAGCCCAAGCGGGTGGGGGGGAAATGAAAGAAGGCCCGGCAGACGGCTGGCGCCTGCTGTCCAGGTGAGCACGAAATATCTCAAGGTTAGGCCGAAGACTAGAAAAAAGGGTCAGGGGGTGTAGAGATGGGTGGAAAGCTGCCACGAGCGTGGAGTGGAAAGGGTTCGGCGATGAGTAACGTGCTTGTCCCACGGCACCGCACAAGGGTGGCAGTCGCTGTAGGAAGGCCTAACAAATCGCATTGACGTCTCAGCGTTCCAACCGCTAAGAGTTTCATCGACGGATATTTGAAAACACGCAGCGTAAATCAACACGTCGAGTCAAGTCAGTTTTATTGTCGAATACGCTCGACGCGCAACATACAGCGCAGATGAAATGACTTTCCTCTCAACCACAGTGCAAACGTGTACGTTGACAATGCAACGTGACTGTACTCTCGGGCATATCTTCTTTATCCTCTGCAGCCTAACGAGTCACTCATCAGTCGTTGTCAAACTTTGCCGTTTCCTTCTTCAAACACATTCCAAAATATTTCGCCGTGTGTGTGGGGGAGACGGGAACAGATGCGTGTCCTTCCTATTCATTTCAAAAAGGAAATCATAAGAGGCCAACAATTTGATTGGATTGATTTCTACAATCGCCGACACGGAAATAACAGCGTGGAACGTGCCCTGGAAGAGAGGACGTAAACAAGCAAGCGGCTCGGAGGAGGAGCAACGTCAAACGGAAGCACTTCATTTGAGCTGCGTCATCGGTGCGGCAGGGGCTAATTTGTGCTCCTCTTCGACGGTCTCACGCACGCACAAACCCGTCTTACAGGCAGCGCAAGGGAGTTGTTGAGATGCCCGACTCACACGTTGGTCAATGTTTTGCAGTTCCGAAAGAAACGCAGTGACTCCCAATCCAAATGGGTGGCCGTCCGTTTCCTAGAAATGCGGTTTAGAGCAAAGAATTTGAATTGTTGGCCGTCATTTCTGGACTACAAATCGCCACTTTGGTCACACGCTTTCAACCCTGCGACTCATTGAATGATGCGGCCTGTTGAAAGGTTTTTCCGACGGCCGCCAGGGGGCGCTCGAGTAGAGAAGGGCGCAGTGAGACGCCGTCACGCGTCACGATGAAGAGAAGCGGCCGCGAGAGGGCGCACTTCCAACCGCGCGGCTGGGTCCGTGACAGACTCGACCAAACACAAAATCATTTTGACGAAGGCTTTATTCCCGAATGAACGCGGCAAATGCCCAGCGTTAAAAAGTAGACAGAAATAGACAACGCTAGTGGCTTGTGAGCACTCTGCGTGTGCCCAAAACAGGCGGAAAACAACTCATCTTCGTGCTGCAGCGTTAACGGGCAAAGAAACATTTTCTGCGTAGCGTCTTTCTTTGTAAATATCTCATGTTACAATACGGACTTCTAGACAGGTGCGGCTTGTGTGTGTCCAAAATGGTTTTTGCTTGAAAAATGGAGTGAGTGCAGCTAATAATCAGGTGCGCTCTACAGTGTGCGGAAATGACGGTAATTTGAGTGCACATCAACGAGCACACGTTTTCAATCAGGGCATATTTACGATCAAATAAGCTGCTTGGGCATACCTCTTGATGGAGGTGTGTGGGGGGGGGGGCAATGTGTTTGATAAGGGCCATTCAAACATGATGAACTCCGCAAACCAGGTTGGCGGGCACTGAAATATCTGCAAGGAGAAAGAAGAGCACTCGCAAGACTTGGCAAAGCGAGAGAGAGAGGGCGCACGCACGCACGCACGCGTCGCCGTGGCCCAATGACAGCACTTTTGCTTCCTCGCTCCCGATCAAAGTCGGCATTGACCTCGTCCTCTCGGAGCCGATCGGAAAACGACCGTAAACGCTCAACTGTTCAACAGTCGCGACGGCCGACCCTTGGGTGGACGGCGAACACCGAGTCGGGCCGAGCAACGGGCTCCGCGATCACGAAGCTTTGAAGCCAAAAGACTTGCTCATCTAATCATCGCATTTGGTTTGTACTCGTCTTGAGGAGACGCGCCGGTCGGCTGAGATGCGCTTTTCGCAGGCCTCGTACCGATTTTTGAAGGCTTCGGAAGATTCAGGTTGTTCATGATGGCCACAAAGTCCTCCAGGCTCTTGGTCAGTCGAGGGTTGAAGGCGCGCTCTTCGCCGACGGTCGACACCGTCTGACCTGGAAAGTCAACGGGCAGAGGTCACGGCCGGCGCTCGGCTTCCCGAAGTGACGCGCAAAGAAGACGCGGGAGCCGTCGCTCAGCCCACCTAAGTAGTCGTGCGCCGGGTAGACGAGGCACCGGTCGGGCAGGGTAAAGATCTTCTGCTGAATGGAAGCGTAGAGCCGTTTGGAACAACCTGAGCACACCGGAAATGGGCGAGGTTCAGCACTGCGGAAATACTGCCCCCTTGCGTTCATAAGCCGGTATTACAAAAACAAAGACTGGCGGGCGGTCGACCTCCGAGTCGAAAGCCACCACTTGCAAACCGTCCAAGAGGAAATCGTGCAAGTCAATTCATTATTTCCAGACTTCAACTCTTGTTGTAACCTGAAACTTTCTCGTGTGTTCTTTCACGTGAGAGAAGACGACAAGTTCACCGCCAGTCAATATTGCCGCAAAAGAATTTGCGGGTTTGTGATGAGAAAAAAGAAAAAGAAAAAAAAAAAAAGAGTGAAGCTATAAAACTGCAGCGTCGGAAGCGCTGTGGTCAAACATTTAGCTCAACCGAACATTTTTGCGCGGGTGCACCAAAGAAAAAAACGTCGGGCGCGCAAGTGCAACAAGTGAGTCGAGAGCCCCAAGTGTGCTCCAACCGTCCTCTTCACCGCTCACAAGATTGAACGAACACGTCCGCAGCATGTGGACGCAATGTCGTTGCAAGACGTCGGGGACGGGATGACGCTTTGGAAAGCCGCGTGGTTGCAGACGCCGCGACGAGCGCCTCGCGTCGGTTCCTGTTCCGGACAAACGGGACTTACCTTGCTGGAAATCAGTCCTGCCGCAGCCTCGTATCAGCAAGGCGTCGCCGGTGAAGGCCACGCCCTCGTCCTGGGTCACCAGCGTCACGCATCCGTCGGTGTGTCCCGGTGTTTCTCTCACAGTGAGATACTGCGGGGGAGCGAGCGCCACATGAAGGAGAGAGAAGAAAAAAAAAAAAAAGGCAAACTAATTGAAGCCACAAGCAGCGATAAATAGGAACAGCGAATACATCTTGACACAATTTCAGGTCAGAGTCAAGGTGGGATTCTTTTTTTTTAACTTTCCATTGGCATGCGACTGAATGACTTGTGGAAGGGTCCCGTTTTCTTCCTTTCTGTTTCGACACCGGGTGGAGATCCAGACTGCTGAAGACGCGCTTTCGAGCTACAAGTCATTCCGGCAAAGTTGCCATCCGAAGGCAGGACCGAAACAATGAATCCCATCACTTCAAATGTACGTCGACGCTTCTCAGTCGCTTCCTCTTTCCCGACGGATTCGTGTTAGCGCATGATCACGCGCTGCGCCGTGCGGAAATAAGATGGCGGGAAACCTTGCGGGAAGAGCGCGTCGAACGGAGAGCTTTGCAATCGGTTGACGAGATGTTCTGGATCCCCGTCGCCCGTCGACCGCGCGCGCTCGAGCGGTGGACCGCAAACGGAGCGCTCGGGCACTTGCGTGATTTCCGAAGGTGATCCTGTCTCCCTCGGACAGCAGGACGTCGGCGGCGGCCCCGCTTGACTTGGAAATGGCGCTTTTCAGCCCGGCCAGCCTGGTCTTCATCAAGCCCGTGCCGGTGACGTGGTCCGCGTGGCAGTGAGTGTTCACTTTGGAAAGGCAACGAAGGCGAGGTTGAGTCGCACGCACGGAAGGGCGCCGGCGAAAAGGTTCCCGGTTGCTGACCTGCGGTTTTCAGACGCAGCCCGAGCTCCTCGATCAGCTTCAGGTCCCTGTCGACGGTCTCCAGCACGGGGTCGATGAGGACGGCGTCCTTGGAGACGGCGTCGGCGAGCAGGTACGTGTAGGTGCTGCTCTCCGATTCAAACAGCTTGGCACACAAACGACGGCGTCGTCGTTAGGAACCGATAAACTTGATGTGACGCGACCCCGATGCGTTTCGTCACGTTTTCCATTCATGCGACGTGCAACTGTTGGCGCGAACGGATTGCGCGTTGCCAAATGAGGCCTTTTCAAGCCCTTCGGCCAACTCGTCTTCAAACGAGTGGAGAAATACTTGAGTTTCCCATGAGTATTTGCACGCCGTTTTCCTTCCGCATGGGGAGACATCGGAGCCCGGCGGAAGGCGGTCGTGGCGTCGGTCGTGCTCGACCTTGCACAGGAAATTGGGACTTTTTGGAACGTTGCAAAAGCAGCCGCGACGGTCGGATCTTTGTTTGGTTTCGTTTCGTTTTCCCTCTCGGCGAAGGCGGAGGAAATGCATTCCAATTGGGTTCTTTTGAATGAGTCCCGTGCGTCGTCATTTCGGAAAGTCGTCGGCGGGTTCAAGTTGGACTCAACGCCAGCTTGAACGCGATTCGACCCGAAGCGGTTCACGCGGACGAGGACCGACGGCTAACGTTGCTAAGGCTACGGGGCTAGCTAGCGGACCGAAACGAACAAAGGCCGCAAAGTTCAAGCGGTCCGGCGGACGACGTCACCTGTCGGAAGAGGAGCCCGTCGCTCAACCGCGTCCCGGTCGAGTAGCGCCTCCGTCCTCGCGGCGGGGCTCCCGCGGCCGCGCGCGGGCGTCCGTCCCCGGCCGGCGAAACGCTCGAGGCGCCGCTTTGCTCGCCGAGGCCGCGGAGCGCGACTCGCAGCCGGTCCTGACGCCTCGCCGCCGCCGCCGCCGCCGCCTTGGTTAGCAGGGAGCACATCGTCCTTCCTCGTGACGCTCGCGAACCGAAGACAACTCGCTTGGAGGGCGAACGCGGAGCGCGAGCCGCCGCGGACTCGCCAGTTGGCTGATGAAAATCGACGATGGCGAAATAGTTTGCCTTTTGTTTTTTGTTTTTTTTTTCTTTTCCGCCGCCAGAGTTCAGTGACCCGGTGGCAGCTTGTGTGTTAATGCGTAATGGGCCAGTGTAGAGTTCAGCTGCCAAATGACGGAGGCGTGTGTCATAAAATCCAACGAAGACTCCACTCTGCAAATATTGTGATGGTTCCTCAGTGCAGCAGTGACCTTTTCGTACTCCTTCCACCCTCCCGGGAGGGGGGAGTTGAGTCTCCTGACCGCCAGGTGGAAAAACAAAAAAAGTGTTCTTGAGCCTGCTGGTCAATGAAGACGTTGCGCCGGCGTTCGGCAGCCGGCTCCCGGTGCCCGCGGCTCCTAACTGTCAATTGTGATCGACTACCGGAGGCGCCTGGGCCGTGGCCCAGCCAAAGCGGCCGCTCGGCGTAATAATGGTCAGCGGGCGAGGTTCGCGTTTTGTGTGCTTTTTAATAGCAATGCGGCGGAGCAGGACGACGTGCGGTGCGCTCACCCCAACGGTGACTTCCTGGAACTCCCCCTTGGAGGCGGGACCTGTCAATCAATCAACCGAAGGACGCCACATCAAGCAATACAATGACGGCAATAGTTTCTATCAATTGACTTCTTTATTCACCGTGTTTGTCCGCGTTCAGCGAAAAACTCAAAAGGCATGTCACCAAAAGCGGAGCGTATTAACAGAGCTCTTTTAACAATGGTTTGTAGACATGATGGCAAAGCATCAACTGCCACGTGACCGCGTCCTTCCAGAGGCGCCGTCGGAGGTTCGCGTAACCGTTCTCCGGATGTCCACTTCATGCTCGGAGTTCCCGCCCGCACCATATCCTGAGCAGGGCATGTGGTCACCTGGACTATCCCACCAAACACACTTTTATGATCGAAACTATGTTTCTCTCTGTGTTTAGTGTACAAGACGAGCATTTTGTGCACCGTTATTTCTGCGCTCTCATCATCGACTCGAAGGGTGCGCCGAGGTGCATCTTTCACACTGCGCATCGTCTCATTCTGCACTGTCGCATTGATTGAATCCACAAATTCAAAAGCATGCTTTTTACTTCGCCAACCGTCCGGTATACTCACATCCTTTGGCGTGCGGTCGTCAATGTGTTGTCCCGACAGCATGGATGCGTTCATTTTGATGGCTCGTACAACATTGTCGATGTGGATTTGGACTTGCTCCGGGTTGCATTAGTTTCCGAGGGACAGCTCGCTCCTCTTCTCTCGGTCTTTGGCGCTCTTGTGAAGGAGGCGCGAAACACGACAGAGTAGCCGCTAGACCGCTTCGGGCATATTTCTTCTATTGCCACAACAACTTGGCAGCACGGCGTAACACCAACCGCGGCCATGAGCGGAGCGTCCGCTTACGAAGGCGGAAGTCGTGTTCACGTGAACATCCGGCAGGCTTCTTCACAATAAAAGCAGAGAGCAAGAGCGCTACACATAAATCCTTCACAGCTCTCCGCCAATACCGTAACGTGCCGATCCCCATTCCCATCTTGCATCGTTGGACAATTTTGACTTTTGTGCTGAATGTGACGCTTGAGGTCGTCCGGTTTGCATTCGCTCCACACTTTTCCCTCCGAAAACTCGCTTGCTACTTTAGCTTCGCAACACGTTTTACAGAGTAGCCCTTTCGACGGGGAACAACGTCATGATGTCAATGCGGGAGCGAATCGCGTCAAAAGACAACCTGGAACAGCCAATCGCATTCATAAATCCATCCATTTTCCGATCTGCTTTATCCTCTCAGGGGTCGCGGGGGGTACTGCAGCCAATCCCAGCGTTCTGCAGATTAGCTCCGGAGTACCCGGAGAAAAGCCACGCAGGCCCCGGGAGAACATGCAAACTCCACACAGGGAGGACGGAGCTGGAATTGAACCCGGAGCCTCTGCACTGTGAAGTCGACGCGCTAACCGCTGGACGACCGGCCCGCCGCAGCCGATCACATGTTGCATAATACAGAATCAATGATGCGTTGATTTTATTTTCAATACTGGTTGGATTTTGACTTGGTGCGCAGCTCAGATATTTTCTGCGCAAACACGCATTTGCTCACAAAGCATGCTTGGAGGGAACGGTGCTGGCGCTATTGCTTCCGCCCCCCCGGGAAAATAAGCGTGACGCCGTGCAACGAATCGCCTACGGACAAGAGAGCACCGGCACCCTTTGGGACATCTCGATTTTCACCGAAAACGCTCACTTTCACATTCAGTAAAACACATGGAAAAAGAAAATGCCGACCAAGATGACCAATTTCATGTCAATGAAAATCGAGGTCAAATGGAATCAACCAGAATTACGAGCAACGGATTCCAGTTTTGTGAAAAATACATTTGAAAGGACTGTCAAATGTGGTCTCTGTGTAGAAAAGAAACACGATCGAAAAGAATACAAAAAGTTGGTTGTCATAATCTGTCGTTGACGGCACGAAAGCATCGTCAAGAACGAAATGACGTGTCCCATGTGCAAGGAAACGGATTCTCTTTCATCGGCTTGAAGGGCTCGCTCATGTCATGTCGTGTCGTGTCACGTCCCGTGTAGAAAAGAAACACGATCTAAAAGAATACAAAAAGTTGTGTTCAAATACAGTATCATTACTCTCTTCTCGGTTAGATTACATTTCATAGTAGATGGTTTTGTGATCACAATATTGATTGTGTTGCAGCTATTGAGGGACTGCGCTTTGCTATGAGTACAATTGATCTCAGTCTCTTTCCTGAACATCTGTTTGCACACTTAAAACAACGTATGTGGTGTTAAAGTTTATCTTCTTCCTCCTTGGTTGATTAACGGCCCCCCAAGTGTCTCTTCTGTCGGTCCCCCGCACCCTGATCGCTGTTAAGCCCCCCTGGGAAGACCTCTTATCTCAGGATGTATGCACAGCGGGGGTTCTGGAACTTGCTATCGCACCAAACGGTGGCTAGTGGTGGTCTACCACACCACTCCCAACTTCTTCCAGCCACACCGGGTCAGATGTCATGTTACTTTCTTTGTTTCCGGGATTTGCATGAGAGGCGTACCTAACCGCCTCTCATTATCATATCGTCTCTATATAATCTCATGGGTGCGTTTCTTCTACGCTTCCCGATTCGAATCAGGAGCCCGAATCGATTCGTAAACTGCAGAAAATAGATTAAAACCCTTCGAAGGAACTGTTCATCGCCTCCAGCCTTTATTTGGTTAACCAACATCCTCATCATCCGAAATTCAACGAACACGCGAGGAAGAGAAAGGCCGCTCTTCCCCCAACAGTCGGTTGTCATAATTTGCGGTTGACGGAATGAAAGCATCGTCAACAACTAAATGACGTGTGTCCCGTGTGCAAGGAAACGGATACTCTTTCATCGGCTTGAAGGGCTCGCTCATGTCATGTCGTGTCGTGTCACGTCCTGCAGCAAATCTTTGCGCGCAAGCACGGTGCAGAAGCCAAAAAGTCACTTCCTCCTTCGCTTCTGGGTGGTTTTTTTTTTCTTCTCGACTGCAGTCGAAAGCACGCCGCATACGTGAGACTGCCCGCCTGAGGCGTTTAGCTGCTTTCGGAGCCAGCGCGATGGCGTTCCCTCTCCTTCAGTATATCGCCGCACTGGACAGCGCTCGTCTGCCGAGGATCCTTCGGGTCTGCTCGGGGGTCTACTTCCAAGGTAGCTTTCTTTTTGTCCGCGGGTCCGCTCTTCCGCTTTCTTCCAAATTGTCGCTTCTTCGTCTCGTTCCGCCAAGGGTCCGTCTATGAGATTTCGGGGAACGAGGTCTGCTTCTCTACCGGGGACGTCATCAAGGTCACCGGCGTTGAACTCTCCTCCGTTTGTTGCCGGGACGACGGCGGCGACGAGACCTTTGAGCTCCCCATCGACCACGCAGGTGCCAACCCCCGTGATCGGTTTTGCTCGGATAAGCTCGATGGCGACGCACGACGAGCGTTTGCGAGCTTTTCGTCACGGTGTCGGACGCTTTTGCGCGAAGCGATTTGGCCGACTGTTCGAACGACGGCTTTCTTGGCTTTTTCTTTTTCCTTTGACTGTCAGCATTTATTTGGTTTCATTTTTCCAGTCTTTCATTGAACGCCCAACTAATGCAAACGTGGAATTTATTGAGCGAGCGCCAGAGCCGCGGGGAACAAACGATCGTACGGCGCGGCGATCCCCTTTGCCTCCACACTTCTGTAAGCGATCCCCTTTTTCTTTTCCCAAAGCGACAAACTCGCGTCGCACCGGGCCGTGCGCGTGACTCCCCGATATATTTCCACGTCTCGGTTCATCTTTCAAATTGACGTCGTGCGCCAGTATCGAGCGGTCCGGAAATAGAACGACAGCCAGGATAGACCGGATTCAGTAGACCACAGGCTGAGCGTTGGATCCCCGGCCGTTGCGACCTCGCCCGAGCGTCCTTGAGCGAGATAGCCAAGTTCCGGTTGCTCCCGATGCCGAGTCATCGGCGGGTCGATGAGGCGTCGACGGCGTAAAGCGCTCAGAGTACCCGAGGAGGTCGGCGAGGGAAAAAAACAAGCCGCCATGGAGGTGACGGCCCGTGGACCGTTTGCCCCAACGTTTCCCAAGTCTTTCATTGAAAAAAACAAGCCGCCATCGAGGTGACGGCCCGTGGACCGTTTGCCCCAAAACGTTTCCCAAAGATGGCTTGTCTCGTCAGGCTTGTTGGAGGCGATCCCGGAGGCCGCTCCGTACAGCACGGTGGAGGAAGTGGTCAGAGGCCGGGCCGCGGGCGGGGAATCCCGCCTGCCCGTCACCTTCGCGACGCTTCACCGCCCGGGAGATCGTGACGTCGGCGCACCTGCGCGGCCAACGCTTCCGCTTCCACGACGACGACGGCGGCGCCGCCGCGCGCCGGCGCGTGCTCGTCCTCAGCCCGGTCTACCAGATCAGCGCCATCATGAGCCGTGAGCGCTTCCCCAAACGCTTTTCGGGCTTCGGTCTCACCGTTCCAACTCATCTTCTTTTCCGTTTGGGTGACAGTGAGGAAGGACGTGTTGCGCTTCCCGTCCAGCTTGGCGGTGGACGTGGTGGACATCACCGACGCGTGCGAGGGCATCAGCTTCGTCACCCCCCTCAGCCTGCCCGAGGTCCACTCCCAGTCGGATCAAAGCTTCCCGGCGGTGGTGGAGGTCCTGGAGGGTCCCGAGATCCGCCCCATGCTGAAGAGCGGTTGGCTGCCGCAGCTGCAGAGGGGGGTCCGCTTGATCTTCCACGGAAGGACCACCTCGTCCATGACCGTCGTGACCGGCGGCAAAAGCTGCAAGGCGCGGCGCTACTTCCTGGTATCCGAGCGCTACGCCGGCCGCTTCCGCAGGCGCCCCCGCGGCTTCGACTCGGCGTACGAGCTGTACGTCGCCTCGGCTCAAACGCCCGGCTTGAGGGTGTCCGCCACCAGGGACTGCGAGGAGGCGGAGGGGGAAGGCCTTCCCGGCCTCTCCGTCGGCGAGCGGCTGGAAGTGGTGGCGCGCCAAAAAGTCCGACTGCCGTGCGGCCCGGCGGACGCCGTGGTTTGCGTCCGCCTCCGGGACGCCGACGACGAAGGGGAGGACGAGGAAGACGACGAGGTCGGAGCGGGGCGGCGGGGGGGCCGCCTTTATCTGCCCTTGCACATGCGAGGCCACTTTGTGGAGCTGCTGAGCGACAACAAGAAGTACGCGCTGAGCGCTCTGGGCGACAAGCTGCCTCTGGACGTGAAAGCCGTGAGCCGGGACCCCGAGCTGGAGGACGACCCGCTGGTCGGCTTCCCCTCCCTGCGCGCGGTGGGGGTCACCCTGGAGCCCACCATCCGGGCCAGCTTCCTGCACGCGCCCGACCTCTGCTTTGAGATCCCCGCCCGGAGGCTGCGCGTGACCGTGTGCCGCACCCAGCAGCCCCTGCCGTGGCCCCCGAACCGGGCCCCCGAATGCACCGTGGAGCGCGTGACGGAGGTGACGGAAGCCTTCTTGCACCAGTTTCAAAAAGAGGCCCTTCCCGTTCTGAGCCCCCCTCCCAGACCCCCCAAAAGGTACCCCTCGGCGCCGAGGCCGAACAAAGGCGTCCCGACCCGAGACTTTGGCAACGTGACGATCGGAAGTCGACGGAGCTCCTCGCCGCTGCCGCCCGGCGTGAGTAGCGCTCAATTTTCCATCGCGGTCTCGCGCGGCCAATTGCGAAATGACGCGAAATGACGAGCCGTCGCAAGTTTTGACATGAAAGAGGATCACCGAGGCGGCCCGGGGGTCGGCGCGGAGGTCGCGCGTTGGATCCCGGCTCCGGCCTCCCTGTGTGGAGTTTGCGTGTTCTCCCCCGGGCCCGCGTGGCTTTTCTCCGGGTACTCGGGTTTCCTCCCACATCCCAAAAAACATGCACGGCAGGCGGATTGAACGCTTCAAATTGTCCCGCGGTGTGAGCGTGAGCGCGGACGGTCGTTGGTCTCCGTGTGCCCTGCCATGGGCTGGCGACCGGTTCAGGGTGTCCCCGCCTACTGCCCGAAGACGGCTGGGACGGGCTCCGGCACCCCCCGCCACCCTTGTGAGGAGAAGCGGATCTGAAAATGGCCGAATGATGACTGAAACATATCCCCTGCGATGGCTCACTGTGTTTGGTTTCTGCGTTCGTTAGAAGTGGCCACATTGGACGCCTCTTCTGGAAACATATCAAAACGTGTCCAAAGTTGAAGCGCAGAGTACTTTGCAGGCACGGCACAGCACGGCGTGTTATTTCTCAGCACAAGAACGTCCGCTTTCAGACCGGCGCGACTTCCGCATATCGCAGCGGTGCATTAAAAACCCGCAAGCGGCCCACTTCCTCTTTCTACTCAGCAGGCAGGTGTCAGCCATCTGCCGCCGACGGTGGCGGCGCGCAAGCCGTTCACCCCTCAGACCTCGGTCCAAAGGGCCACGCCCAACAGCTACGCGGGAGCGGTCGGAAGCAACGTGAACGGTAAGCCGCCAACGCCTTCCCGTCAATTCATTCTGTATTCATTTCAACAAATGCCGAACGACTCCGAGCTTTTGGACATGCCCGCGTGCACGATTGGTTGCCGGCGCGACGTCGACCAATGACGGCACGAGTAGATTTATTCCGTGAGCTGATTGGCTGGGAAGATCTTCGCAGCCCCGCCCGCCACCTTCTTTCGGAACGTCCGCGGCAAAAAAATGGAGGTCCCGGACTCGAGATTGCAGACACCTGCAAAGATCTCGAGCCGCTTTTCTCTCCTCAGGGCCGGCACGCGAGGATGCGGCGGTGACAAGTGACGACGACGACGACGACGGCTACGAACGCGTGGACGACGCGTTGACAGCGACGCTGAAGAAAGCCCAAGAAAGCGGCGGCTTCTTCTAGACGGGACGCGAACAATACACAAGGACCTTCAAGTTCTTTCCAAACATGCCAAATGCTATCTTTTCGTGTCACACATGTCAAAGAATTAAATAAGGCATGAAAAAAAAAAATCCTTTCTATTTTGTGCATCTGCCCACGTGACGAGAACCCGACAAGCGATCCGTTTGCGATCCCGCGCCGCGCCGCGCCGTCGATTGGGACGACTTACTTGGTGGACGCGTTCCTGCTGGCGTGGAGTGGAGCGCGCGAGTCGGAGCGGGTCGGTGTCCCGCACCGTCGCCGCTAAGGTGGTTCCGTTGCGTCGTGGCATTCCGCCCAACAACTCTTGATCGCGACGGCGAAGAGCGCGGCGCAATCAATGACGTCACTCGCCATCCAAAACGGCTTTGTCATTCATTCGCAGGTGCGTCGCTGCGGGTGGAATCGTGACCACTAGGGGCAGCGTGGCGCACTTTCAAAGTGACCGTCGCGCTTGAACTGTCGTAAAATGAGCGCGACTTGTTTGGATTTTTTGCAGAGCGTAAGAAGATGTCTGCAAGTACGATGTGGCGTCTGACCCATTTGTCTTCTCGTTTTGTCCAAAGTGCCGACACCGGTTTTGTTCGCTCCTAACGGCTCAATTCCAAACACTGTCAGTGAGAGAATTTCTTTGCAGGCAATTCAAAGTGGTCAAAATATCGGTCGCATTTTGTTTTTGTACCTTTGGTCCGTGCATCAATAAGAAGACCCAAGTCGGAAGCTGACAACAGAATTCTGTTTATTTAAGGTGACAAATAAGTTGGCTTTTTTTTTTTTTTTTGGAAGGAAAAAAAAAGTACAATTACAAAGTGGCGCCTTTGGCAAAAGAAGAGGAAGTAAGCACTAAAGGTCACAATCTGTTGACTTGTAGTGGTCTTCGTCGATGGTGGAGAAGATGTGACCCTCGTTGCTCAGAAATTCCACCACTTGCCTGCGGGAGGAAAATCGCGAGGAGTCCTCGTCAGCGACGGCAAATTCAGTTTTGCGAAATCCTGCTCGATTCATTTCAAAACCAAAACATTTCGTCTCATTTGTCCCCGCGAAAAGTTTCCGTCTTCGGAAAGTCTTTTGGCACCCCGGTCAAATGTCGCATCGTTTCAGACTTGACCGTGAAGCCGCCGCAGGGCCTTTTGGGGAAACTTTAGGGAAGTCAAACGCAGATGTCGCCGATAACGGCGCATCAATCGTGCGATTTTCTCGCCAGAAGCGTTTCCGAGAAGCGACGCGTTGAAAAGAAATGCAAACGCGAATGAGCTCGAGGCGGTCACGCTTCAAGGAAAGTGCGTCAAGGCTAAGAAGGACTTTTGCCACCCGTGCAATGAGTGAAAAACGAGAACAAAACGTGTCCATTATGTTGGATTTTTTTTTAATCCGCTTAATTTGAAATGTCTCTACTCTCTAATGTCTCAAACTCTCATAATTTGAAATTACGAGAGTTTGTTCGCACCAAGTGCCCGCTTCAGGTCACCCCGCAGCATCTCGGTCGGATTCAAATCCAGACAAATGAAAGGGGGTGTTCGCACGGCAACTTTGACTCCGGCGTAGCACCGAGGCTGCCCCCCCCCCCGTCGAGCGTTCCCACGTACAATGTTACAAGGTGAGCAACCGCGCCCGCTTTTCTCTGTCGGCGTTTGCCGGAGCCTCGGGAACGGCTTCAGAAGCTTTTCCGGACAGACGGATTGGCATCACTTTTGTTCTCGTTTCTCCTTCAATTTCTTTGGACGGCGGCACGACGCGTGGTTTCTTGAGACGTCACGTTGTCTGGCGGATTCTGTCGAAGCCATTGATTTCTCGGCTAATCAGCTTTGGGTGCGGCTTGAGAAATCGAAGCGGTCTTTCCAAACGTGCGGTTCGCCACAGTAAGCGCGTCATCGAAGAAGGGGGGACTACTTTTTCACGGCACCGCAATCCCGGCCCGTTTGAAGATACAAACTCACCCGTAAGCCGTTCATTGTTGCGGATAATGTCGGGAGAGGACTTCGAAATCGGATAAAAGGTGTTTCGGGAAAACGTCGTTTGTGCTCGACGTAAAGTCCGAGTCATTTCGAGCCGCTCCCGCGCCGCACGTTGAACGCAGCGACTCGCTTTGTCCGTCGCGGGCAATCCCGAGGGTGAAATCGCACGTTTCCAAATGCGCCGCGTGAGTGTGAAACGCTCTTACTTGATGGCCACCATGCTGAGGTTGGACAGTCTCGCCTTCAGGTCGTGAAGACCGATGCCCTGCGGGTCCGGACAGCCTCTGATCAGACTCAGCACCTGGACGTCGGCCGGAGGAAGCGGGAGACGGCGTCACTCGCGTCCGGGGCGAGGCGGCCGCGGCCCGAGCGGGCCTTACCTGGTTCTGAGTGGCGCTTAAGCCGTTGTTGGCCACGTCGCGCGCGCCCGCGTAACTCGAGTCCGCCGCGCCCGAGGGGCCGCGCGGCGGCGCGGACGACGTGTGCTCGCTCGTCCCGAAACCGGCCTGGAAGCAAAGATGATGTGGACCGACCGTCGCCTTTTAGTCGGCTTTGACGTGCGCTTTTTGCGCGGCGTTTCCTCACCGAGGTCTGCAGCTTGCCGAGGCCCCTGTGCGCCTGCACCACCTCCAGCATGTGCGACGTGATCTGGTCGAAGTCGTCCAGGGGCTTGACGCTGAACGCCACCACCGACCTGTGATTCTGCGCCGCAACGCGCACACGGAAACACGGCTACGTTGAAACACGGCTACGTTGACCCGCTTTTGGCATTCGGGCTCACTTGCGCCGAGGAAAAGGTCATTGGTGCGCCGGGTTCGTTCGGCGGTTAGCGTGCAACTTCAAGGCTAATTTCCCGTTTTCATGACGAGTTCCAAAAGCCCCCGCAGCCCAAAACAGAAAACGCGAGCCCGAACGACAACAAAGAGCCACGAGGTAAACCGACGCCGGCCAGACGTCGTCAAGTTTGCCGCCACCGTCTGCGGGCGGCCTGCTCGGAAGCCGACCCCCCCGTTCGGTTTTTTGGCTCGCTACGCTAAGCAAAAAGAAGCGGGCAAAGTGGAGCCACTCTTGGGGTAATTCAGAAGAGAAAGCTCCGAATTTCAACCCAAGCGCGGCCTGCATGCGACCCATCCCTTTTTGGCGGCGCTCATCGTTCCCCAAACGGGGCGGCTTTCGGTCGCGGTCGGCGACGGCGCAAGCGGAGCCCTACCTGAAAGGAGCGCAGGTTTCCCGAGACCTTGACGTAGGTGCCGGGAGGCAGCACGGAGCCGTCCACGCTGGGCTCCTTCGAGCGAAAAGACAAACGTTAGCGAGAGGAGCTCCGCGATGTTCCCGCGGCGACGACGTCGCCCGCGCACGCATCCGGGCGGGCCGGAAGAAGACGCCGCCCTCTCCAAACGGGACCGCCAGGAGACAAAAGCGCCGCGCGGGGCTCGTACCTCCGTGTCCACCCACTGCTTGACGTCCATGGGGGCGCACGTCATGTCGTCCACCTTGTACTGGATGTTGGTCATGGATTTGTCGGTGTTCCGGATGATTCCGATGAGGGTCACCTGCGTGAGCGAGCGGCCGTTTTACTTTTCAAACACGAAGAGGACATATTGGGAAAAATGCGCTTTTGGAATCTCCTCCTGAGAAACACGTGCGTCTCCGCAGCGACCGCCTCCGAGTCAATCTTTTGATACTCGTGTATGCGTGCGCGCGCGGGTCGTTGGGAATTTTGCTCAAGCGTGACGTCGCATCTCGCCGCTTCCCGATAGCATGCGATGTTTCATCCTCCTTGTTTGGCGGGTGTACGGACGCTGTCGTAAAATTCAAACGGCAGCCGCGACGTATCGCGGACTCCGCTTTTGGCGTGCGGCCCCGGGGGCTAAATGAGGAACGCCGCGGTCCGCCCCGGCACGCCGGTCTGGCTGTCGGCGTGGTGACATTGTACGCGCGTGAGCGAGCGCGCGCTTTCTAGGGACAAACGCAAGGGATCCGCCGTATTGCTCACAAGACCGCTACTGAGAATACGTGGAATCATTGTGATGGCGAGGTGTCGTGCTACTTTTGCAGTCGCGCTACACTGCGCAAGCCCGAGTCTCCAGCAGCGGATTGTATCGGATGGCGTGTCAGAGACAAAGAAATGAGATCCCAAAGGACTCCGTGCTGCTGATTTTCCTCTTGCGTTGCACCACTTCGAGAGTGTGCTCGTGCTTTGCGGGGGGGGAATGAGGCCAAAGGCGCCAGCTCACCTGGGACACCTCCACTTCGCCAACTTTGAAGGCCTCGTCCGACTGGGTGGCGGACATCAGCTGGGACACTGTGCACGGTATGATCTGGGAGACTCGGCTTCTCTGAAACACACACACGCACGCACACACTGAGGATGACAACAACCATGGCAGCCGACCACCGGATCTATTCCCGTGATGTCTCATCAAAGGTCGAAAAATGAAATCCTGCTCGGGACAAAAACGTTCACGTTTGTACGTGGGCAGCCTTTCAATTCATCTGCCCTCAATTCCAAGTTTGGGCTCCCGATGCGGTCGTTGCCCAATTAATTCTCCATCTTCACTTTGGACGGCAACCGCACGCACGCACGTACCCCTTTCTTCTCTCCCTGGGATAAGGAAGGTGACGCGAAGCCACCGGGCGACTGAGTGTAGCCGCCGGTCATACTCGACTCGTTGTATCCTAAGAAAAAAAAAAAAAAAAGAAGAAAGATTGGAGAAAAAGGCAACCGTTTGAGGACGTTTTTGAAAGCGAGACGGCAATGGCGAGCGCACGCGCAGAATGTCCGGCTAAGCTCATTGGAGACACCGCTAAAGGGCCAATGACAAGCGCCGGCCTCCCGAAAAACGTCCGGGCGTCGCACTCACCCTGGTTCCACATTTCACGCGAACGGGCGTCGCGAATCCAAGTTTGAAAACGGCAACAACGGCGACGACTGCGAAACGCAAACAAGTCGGGCCCTTCCTGGAGTGCTCTCGCGCGCGCCCGATTCAACGCCGCGCGCATGCGTCAGCAACTCTTCCCGCGGACAGCATGGGGGAAATAGCGCTCACATCTTTGTCTCTCAGACCCTCCCAAAGTTGTGTTTCGATGGGATAGAAAGAGCGCAAACCAAAAGGAAGTCAATTTAGGAATATCAAAGTCGTGTTTTGTTCACAATACAACCTTTCGTTTGCGCGATACTGTGAATGTAATGAGGAGGTATCAAACTGACGCCTGACAGGCAAACGGAGGGTCAAAATAAAAGAGGGAAAACAGTCTCTGACGACGTCGCCAACAGGGGGAAGCGATACGCGCAGCGAAAGGCACGGCGACCAAACGGAAAGCCGCTCTCCGGATACGTTCAAGCATTTATCCTTGATTTCAAATCGTGCGCGGGACAATTTAGGAGAGACCTGTAAAGTTCAGTGGGAATAGAAGTGGCTAGTTGAAAAGGTTTCGTGAGAAGATAGGCTAGGCGAATGTTCAGTACTGTACGCGGAGGTCTTCTCATTTTGAGCTCGATTTCGAACATAAAAATGGAATTGTCAAAAATGTCACATCTCACGAGGGCATGAAAATATCATTTGATCCCAAAACATTTTGAAATTCGACACCGACCGTTCTATTCATTCAGTCATTGATTTATTTGGAATCAATTCATATTCGACCTCAGGTGGCATCATTTCCGCGTCTTAATTTAGCACATATTGGACATGTTGACGGAACACCCGAAATGTTCTCGTCTCAACGTACTCAGCAAGCGTGTGAACTATCTCGGTGCCTTTGAGTGGAACACAAAGCCGCCGTTGTTTTCTCCACGGAGAACGGCAACTGGGTTCAGAGGCTTCTTCTGCCATCTAGTGGAAGAGCGCGTCATTGTTTGGACTGTCACGATCGCTCATTGGCATTGCGAGATCAGAATCAGAATCAGAATCATCTTTATGGGCCGAGCGTGTAGAACACACAAGTAATACAGGCTAGCATAGATGAACGAGTGATTGGGAGTCATCGTTTCCAAAAGAAATGAAATCCAAATCGGCGCGATTGATCACCAAATCAAAATAAAACGCTCTTGTTTATTTTTGACATCCTCTTGAATTCCTTTGACAGCTCGGGGGTCATTTTCCAGAGTCTATTTGCGGCACTTGTAGTTTGGGGAGACTTGCGACAGCCATTTGCCAAGAGGCAGAAAGTAAGTAACACAACGAGCGGAAGTGACACGAAAGCGGACGCGTCGCAATTTCCCAGCCTGGTGAAATATTGACGAATTGCGATAAAGCTGTGACATCGCGTCGCCATCTGGCCTCGCCCGCGCAAAGTGCAACCGAACGCAGACGTCGGCGCGTTGGTGTCCGCAGAAATGTTGCCGCCGCCGCTGCGCTGCCTGCTGCTGCTGCTCCTCCAAGGGTCCCTCGCACTGTCGGGTGAGTGAGTACGCGCAAGATCCGAGCGACCCTTCTCGACTTCTTCGGGCTCAGGCGCGCGCGGTGCGTTTTCACACCGTTCTGACCCGAGTCCAAAAACATCCCGGTCATCGTTTTTTCTCTCGAGCCGCATACGGTATATGAACTTGTGTCACCAGGGACCTTCTGGCATATCACGGACCTGCACTGGGACCCGAGCTACGACCTGAGCGAGGAGCCCAAAAAGGTGTGCGACTCGAGCGGAGGCAAAGCGGCCGCGCGGGCGGGCCTTTTCGGCGACCATGCCTGCGACTCCCCCTGGAACCTCATCAACTCCTCCGTTCACGCCATGAAGGAGATTCTCCCAGACCCGGATTTCATTGTTTGGACGGGGTAGGCCATCTTGCGAGAGAGAACGCGGCGGCGGCGCGCGGTGACTTGTGCTTCACTTCCTTTTGTTGTTTATTTTGACTTGAAAGACAGCAAAACAGACAAACAAAGTTCAAGAGTGAAACCAATCGAAATTCACCTCGTTTTCATTCATCTTGAGAGCTTTGATTGATTTTTTTTTTCATGCGATGAATGGACAGTGTAGGGCGGCAACGGTGGATGACTTGTTAGCGCGTCTGCCTCGCAGCGCAGAGATGCGGGGTTCGATTCTTGGCCACGACCTTCCTGTGTGGAATTGGCGCGTTCTCCCCGTGCATGCGCGGCTTTTCTTTGGGTATTTCCTCCCGCATTCCGTTAAAGTTAGCGTTTAGTATTGAGCAAACGTCAACTGAACAAGACGCCGATATTTCATTCTGACATTTTGTAGTTTTAAACGGAGTCGGTTTTGATGAGTTTTTTCGAGTGGGTTCGCTCGTTTTTATTGATCTTTCCTTTTTGAAAAATGTTTGAGCGCAAACGCAGTGGAGCCCAGGTTTCAAAGCAAACACGGCGATGAAGTCTTTTTCAAAAGCAATGACCCGAACGGAGCATTTTGGTCATTTCAGAAAGCTTCTTTTCATTTGCCGTCCTTTGCTCCGAGATGTCTTTCAAAGCTCTGTCCGTCAATACGTCGTCCAATACGCGTGTCAATCAAGTGCCTTGTCCTTTTGATCGTTCTCAACGTAGCGATGACACGCCTGTGTCCGAGGGACACTCGTTTGGTTCTCTTCGCCTTGCCTTTGACTGTCTTCAGCCGGTCCATGTCCCAAATTCGCCGTGTCAATCAAGTGCCTTTTCCTTTTGATCGTTCTCAACGTAGCGATGACACGCCGCACGTTCCCGACCAGAATCTGGGCGAGGAAAGCGTTCTGCGCATCATGGCCAACCTGACCGACATCATCGCCGAGGTTTTCCCAGGTGCGTGGGGCTTCGAGGGGGAAAAGCCGCCGCCGACGGCGCTTTTCGTGGCCGCTCATTAACGTGACCGACGTATGTTTGCCACCCGTGGAGCGACCAAGGTGTACGCCGCCCTGGGTAACCACGACTACCACCCCAAGAGCCAGCTCCCCGGCGCTCCCAGCTACATGTACGAGCAAACGGCCCGATTGTGGAAGCGCTGGTTGGCGCCGGAGTCGCGCAAAACATTCGCTCAAGGTCCTCCCGCTCTTCCTCTCACGCTTTACGAGTAAAACATTGCCATGAGAAACATTCGTAAAAGTCATCATAGAGTCGCAGATCGTATTTTTCCAAAACTTATTTTTGAGAAAGTCGTAGCAATAGTAGTCTGGGTTCCTGAAATATTTGAAAGCGGTATTCTTTTGCAATTGTCAATAGCTCACGCCAAATAAAGTTGTATTTTTTTGGAAAGTCCGAAAATGATGAACGTGAAGTTGTTTAGAAAACGTGTATGTGTGGGGTTTTTTTTGAAGGGGGGGGGAGAAGCAAAAATATCTCATAAAACGTTCTCACTTTATATACGTACGCAAAGTATTTGATTTCACTCAAGTCCGAAGACGATGATTTGCACCTACGCTTTTGTACGTTGTGACTGAGGAAGGTCGTAAGTCGGCGACGACTCGCTCGCCCGTGACGTCGCGACAACTTCCAAACGCCGTCGATCTTTCCGTTGCAGGCGGCTACTACACCGAAGCACTTTTGAATCAAAGCGGCTACAGGATGCTGGTGCTCAACACGAATCTCTACTACGACCGCAACCTGGCGACCCAGAACGACGAGGATCCCGCCGGCCAGTTTAGCTGGGCGGATGGCGTCCTCGCAAAGGCGGCAAGCGACCAAGAGAAGGCAAGAAGACCGACAACAACAACAAAAAAAAAAAATCGTTTGGATATAAAACGCAGGACAGACGAAGTTCAGCAAGCGACGCCGTTCCGAATCGAAGAGGCGCAACGTCGAGAAGATCTCGACGGATCGGGGACCTGGCGACAAGCGTCGCGAGCCAGGCTGAAATCATCCGACGAGCGGTCGTAGGCGTGGCTCGGCGTTCCAAAGGCGGCCGGAGAACGGCCGGCTCAACTTTTCTTTCTTTTCGATCGTTCCCCAAACGTGCCATTCGGACGCCTTTTGGATCCAGGATGTTGCGGCGCACGCCGTCCCCATTCATACGCGCGACTTTCTTCGTCCCGCAGGTGTACGTCATCGGCCACGTGCCCCCGGGGATGTTTGAGAAGAAGAGGGGCAAGCCTTGGTACAGGCCGCGTTTCAACGAGCGCTACCTGGAGCTGATTCGGAAGCACCACGCCGTCATCAAGGGACAATTCTTTGGCCACCACCACACCGATGCCTTCCGCATGTTCTACGACGCCAACGGTAACGTAAAAGTGGACCGCTGCTTTCTCGAGTTTCCGAGTCGAGTCCGGGCTTCGGTATTCCTGTGCGCAGTTGGCACCCGCTTTCTTCTGGGGGGGGGGCTTGCTTTCGCACAGGTCTGCAATTTGCGTACACAGGAGGAGACGTGGAAGGCGAGGGAGTCACGGCAGAAATTCCACAATGTGGCCTTTATCTCCGGTCAACAACACTTTGGAACACGAACGTCATCGGGACTTTAGCAAGGCCGTATAACGGCGGAAGATAAGAGCGCACGCCTGTTGACTTGGAAAATGAGCGGCACGCCCGAAGACGCCTCGGATGGGCTTTGGCGGGCACGCCGTCCTCAACTTCGACCGGAGAATCGTTTCACGCGATGACAAAAGCTTACTTTGTGACGCAGCTTCAGCGATGTGTCAAAGTTGGCCCGGGATGGTTGCCAACTGCGCCCGAGGGGGACGCGGTCCCATTTTCTTTGCTTCAAGTATCGTGGCGGGCAGTCAAAAAAAGCGGTGGCTCTTCTTGGAAGTGCTCCCGACGTGTTGTGTCCTCGTTCCCGCAGACCTCCCCATCGGCACCATGTTCCTCAGTCCAGGCGTGACGCCGTGGGAGACCACGCTGCCCGGAGTCAAGAACGGCGCCAACAATCCTGCCATTCGCATCTTCGAATACGACAACGCCACGCTCGTGGTTCAGGTAGGGCGGAATGCTTTGCGTCGGTCGGGGCGTGTCCGGCGCGTTGCGCTTGCGCCGCGGCTCGAGGCGCGCCGAGGAGCCCCGCCCCCACGGTTGAGGGTCAGCGTCGGGGGGGGGCGCGGACGAGCGCTCGCTAACTATTTGCTGTTGCTTTTCTGCGAATTGGCACATCCGTCTCGTGTGGCAAACGGGCCGACTCTTGCCACGCTCGTTCACAATCGGGACTCTGCCCGGACGCGTTGGCGGTCTCAAAGTGAAGAATTGTGCAGGCGACACAAAACCGCAGGGGGGCAGAGCGAAGGCTTCAGCCTGACGCGACGCGCGCGCATTCGACGCCCCCTGCTTCAGCCGCGTCGGCAAATCAACAAAGCGCGACCGCCTTTCGCCTGCAGGACGCGGTGACGTACTACCTGAACCTGACGCGCGCCAACATCGGCCGGGACCGCTGGGAGAAGGAGTACCGGCTGACGGAGAGCTTCCAGGTGGCCGACGCCTCCCCGGCCTCGATGGAGCGCGTCCTGCGGGGCATGGAGGCGGACGGCTGTCGCCTGCAGCAGTACTACCGCTTCAACTCGGTCAACTTTGACCTGAGCGAGTGCGACCGAGGCTGCCGCGCGGACCACGTGTGCGCCGCGCGCGAGGTGGACTACCGCAGGTACGAGCGCTGCCTGGCCACCGAGGCGGCGGCGGCGGC